GGTCCCTGTGTGGGCTGCTTTGACTCAGCGCCGGGAGCCGAGCTTAGGCAAACCACGCCGCACTGGACGCCATTCAAGCTTTTACAGGCCCTCAAATTGGGGCTGGAGCCGGAGAGGAAATACTAAAATCCTGTGTACACAACTTCTGTCTGGGCGCGCCGGGGCTCTGGGAGAATCAAGCGCGGCGAGGGACACATTTGGACTGTTCAAGGGCTCCTTTCCCCTGCTCTGCTTTTAACAGGCATCACGATGTGTCGCCTGAAACCAACACTCCTGGGTGTGGGCGCCAGGAGGGTCTGCAGAGTGTGTGAGCTGAGGCGCAGGGGAAGGAACTAAGCTTTTCTCCTGCCCCGCACGTGCCAGGCACACATGCGTCCAAAGTTGGGTTCAGAAATCCCTGTGGTCCATAAACCACACATTCTGCAGGGCCCAGGCCCCTTCCTCTGCAGAAAGATGCAGCTGTCGGATGCTGGATCCTGAGAGCCTGGGCTTGGGAGTTAGGCAGGCCTGGGTGGAATCCCGGCTCCCCACTTGCAAGCACCGTGACTGTGGGGAAGGGCCTCTATTTCCTCATCTGTAAAATGGGCTTGATCATGGTAAGTTACCTTGGAGGTTAAAGACATGATATAGGTGGGGAACTAGCTCAGAGCCTGGCACATAGTAGGTGCTCACTAAATGGTAGCTGTTAGTATTTATATGGATTAATAGTGATAGCATCCTGTTGAGCCTGGCACATGCTAAGTGCTGCCTACAAATCAATTCATTTAATCCTCACAGCAGCCCCATGAGGTAATACTTTAACTCCATTTTAAGGGCAGAAACTAGGTCAATTGATTGACCTACCCAAGGTCACAAAGCTGGTGACTGGCTGGCCAGTCAACCGAACAAATGAACAGTTGAACCCAGGCCATCATTTTCATCATGCAGGTGATTTGCCACACTCTGAACTGTAACAGAGGAACTGGTGGCCAGAGCTGCTGGTGAGCTGTGTGTCCATGCCATCCTCAGCCTGGCACCGGCCCCCCACACCTGGGCCTCATCCCACTGTCCCAGTTCCAGCCCTGCCAAGTGCCCTCAAGCACTTCCCACCTTGGCCCACCAAGTGTCCGAGCTGCCCCCTCCTACCTCTCTGCCTTGGCTCAGCCTTTCCCCCACTCCCAAGCTCGCTGGCTGCCTGCCTGTGCATCAGGCCAATCGCTGGCCACCCCTCCGGTGAGGCTGGCTCCTCTGAGCTGCAACACTTCCACCCAAAACCAGTGCCTTCAGCCTCCCTTCTTTTTGACTTGGGCCATGCTGGTCTGTGATGTGTTTGTTTCCCTCATTCTGGTCCTTCGTCAAACCCTACAGATCTGAGGCCTGACGTAGTGGCTCATGCCTGTAATCCCAGTACTTTGGGAGGCCAAAGAGGGTGGATCACCTGAGGTCAGGAGTTCAAGACCATCCTGGCCAACATGGTGAAACCCTGTCTCTACTAAAAATACAAAAATTAGCCAGGCATGGTGGCACGCGCCTGTAATCCCAGCTACTCAGGAGGCTGAAGCATGAGAATTGCTTGAACTGGGAGGCAGAGGTTGCAGTGAGCCAAGATCATGCCACTGCACTCCAGCCTGGGCAACAGAGCAAGCCTCCATCTCAAAACACAAAAACAAAAAAGCCCAAAACCCTACAGGTCTGGTCTAGTCTTTTGTGCAGAGCAGGGTCTCCCATTTGTGGAAATGAATTTTCACTGGTGGTAAATATTGGGTGATTGGGGACATTATCCTCACTGGTGACTTGTGCGAAGGAAAAAGAGAAGCCCCAGACAGTTTGTATAAGGAGGCAGGAGACAATGTGGGCATCACCCGGTGCTCCTGACATCTGCTACCAAGCATGTGGGGGTGTGACTCCCCTGCCCACCCTTCCCCCTACAACCCCCTTAATTGTTCTGTCATCAGGGCCTCCCAGGACCCCATGCTGTCTCAGGTAACGGCAGAGACCTTGCAGGCATGTGAGCTCCTGGCTGGGCTGCCTTATACCAGCAGCCTGCAAAGGTTTCCATTCTGGGATCAGAGGGGCTCCAGGCCTGCCCATGAGCCGCATGACACCAACCTCAGCATGGGACATGCCAGGCCTGAGACCACATAGTGGATCTCCCAGACCTCTGCTGGGCAGCTAGAGTTGTCATCCTGCTTCCCCCAAACAACCCAAACCCCCAGTGCCCACACCCAAGAGGCATGACAATTTCGTGGAAATAACATGGCCCTTGGAATCCAGAGATCTGGGTGTGGGTCCTGATACTGCAGTTCCATGAGGTCTTGGGCAAATCACTTAACCTACCTGTGAGCCTCAGTTTCCCCATGGCAGTGATCATGTATATTTTACTTTGGGATTGAGAGACAGGAGAGGTATGAGAGCACCTGGCACACTGTGGGAGCTGAAGTGTTGGTTTAAGTGGGAGTCACAGTTGTGGTGGGGAGCTAGACTTGAGGGGTGACAGGATGACCCAGTGAGCTGGCCTAGCAGTAAGAAGGGAAGAGTTGATGATGGAAAGGCTGGCGTCCCCTGGTCTGGCCTCTGCAGGACTCGTAGTTGACTCTCCCCACCCTTTAGAGTGGGGGGTGTTTCTGGCCCCAAACACTTCACATCTTTGAAGCTTGGGGGAGGGATGCATGTACAGATGAAGGCTGCTGGGAGTCTGGAGTGCCATGTGGGATACCCCAGACATCTGGCAGAGCTGCAGTGGTGCCCTATGGGTGCAGACTGGTATGGGACCACACGTAAGCCACCCCAGGGGCTTCCAGAAGGGCACGGTGCCAAGGCAGCTGAGGATCTGTGAGTAAGGATCCTAAGGGGGCCAGAGAACCCAGGGGCATGTTACTTGTGTCTAAAAATTGGCAGATCGAGGGTCAGGGCATCTGGACTGCTCCAGTGAACAGGAGAGAATGCACACTGGCCACTACGTGCTGCTGGTACTGTACCCCCGGGAGAGCTGGTGGACTTGGAGCAGAAACAGTCTGCATGGCGTGGCAGCGCCCTCTGCTGGCAAAGCTGGGCTGGCATCCGCGGTACAGGAGAAGGCTGATCCTCACACCCGGCATGAACAGCGCCACCACTTCAAGCAGCCAGGGCTCAGGAGCAGGAGGGACCCTGGTAGGTGGGAAACTCATTCCCATTTCCAAATAAGAAAACAGGCTAGGAGGAGTGCAGAAAGTTGCTCAGGGTCCCACAGCTATTAAATGGCGGAGCCAGACCCATCCTGCAATGCCCTTCCTTCTACCCTAGACCGAATCATTTTATGCAAAATATAACAGGACTCAGGGATGCTGGAAACAGTACCCTTCTTTATTTTATTAAAATCAAATTAGATCTGACTCCGCCTCTGGCTGGGCTGCAGAAAACTTCATTCTGACTTGCTTTTGGAGGTGGGAGTGGGTGCTGCTCCTCCCTAGGCCTGTGCGAGAGCCAGGGAGTCTAAAGTGATGCCAGAAAATGGGTGTGAGGGGGTAGTGTTTAAACGTTAAGTGCGTCAGGGCCACTGTGAGAGCTTCGTGTCCAAGCCTCAGGGGGGCTGAGCTGCCTCCTTGCCGAGTTTGGCAGCCTGGTGCCTGAGGCCATGCCACTCACTCCCCTGAGGTCCCCTACAGCTTGGCCATGCCACCTGAAGTCCTGCCCCCCACCCCCACCTCAGCAGGCACTGCTGCTCCCAGCCATGGAGTTCTCTCAAAACCTTCCTCAAACCTTTTCCTCCCCTCCCCAACCCCCAGCCTAACAGCCTTCAATTGCTCCAGATTCCAGAAAATAAAAGCAGGAAAGGTTGGCTGAACAGGGAAGGAAAATATGTCAAAAACAAAAGACAAATGATCATCTCAGGAAAAGTTCCTGGCCCTCTAAACTCTGTGCGGGGTAGCCACACGTGCCCGTGGCAAAGCACTGTGTCCTTGGAGAGCCCTACATGCTGCAACTGAAACCAACAAGACACGGCTCAGACAGGGAGCAGGTTAGTTGACTCCATTTGCAGAAACTTGGGGCAAGGGGTTGGATGTGAGGAATGTGGCATGCCACTCCCCACCTGAAGCAGTGAAAGTTAAAAGGAGGTTATGGAAAATCGGGGAAGGGGCTAAATGCCCAGGAGCCCGGATGCAAAGCCAATCCTATCTGAGAAGAATGAACTTGGGGCCACTTGTTGTCATCACAGCTATAAAAAGGGCCTGGCAGGTCCAACTGTGGCCCTCTGGACTCTGCAGCAGCCAGATCTGCAGTCTTCAGTTTTGAATCTCTAACCAGGAGATTTGGTTAGATATCTAAATTAGAGACCTAGTTATCCTTAGCTGTTGTGTTCAGTCCTCAAATCTTGTTATTCTGTTTATAAATAGGGCAAAATAAGAAGTGACCTTTAATTTTCTTTAATGAGCTATTAACTTGAAGACACTAAGCTCCCCCCGACCCCCCCAAAAAAAGCACTCGTGGCAATAAAACTGTCAGCCCAGTGTCACCCGTTACCCAAGGGTGGCACCCTTGTCCTGCTGGAGATGGCGCATCTGCTGCTTCGAGAGCCCTTTTCTAACCTGGGAAAGCTTGAGTTTAAACATGAAGATAGTGAAATAAGGTAAGCCTTTAGAAGCAAAACTTTCATGCTAAGTTTAGGAGTAATCTGTGTATGTTTGTTTCTTTAAAATACTGTAACAGTCTAAAGAATCTAACATTAAAGACTGACAGATTGGCCTGTTGCCTCCAGTTTTAAATATGTACTAGAATTTAGACTTGTCCTGGAACCAACCTAAGTGTCCACCAGTTGTTGATTGGATAAAGAAAATGTGGTTTGTATACCCCATGAAATACTATGCACAAGAATGAACCAGATCATGTCCTTTGCAGCACCGTGGATGGAGCTGGAGACCATTATCCTAGGTGAACTAACTCAGAAGCAGAAAATAGAAAACCTCATGTTGTTACTTGTAAGTAGGAACTAGACAATGGGTACACATGGCTGTAAAGATGGAGATAATAGACACTGGGGACCCCAAAAATGGGGAGGGGGCTGGGAGCAAGGAGAACGGCTGAAGTGGGGAGAAGGGTTGAAGAATGACCTATTGCATATAATGTTCAATATCTGAATGATGAGTACACTAGAAGCCCAGGTTCCACTCTTACACATATAGTACCCATATAACTCAAGTACACGTACTCCCTGAATCTAAAATTAAAAAAAAAAATTTTTTAAGAATTAGACTTGTGATTTCAAGTTATAAAGGGAAAAAATTGACCTTATTTTTGTGAATATTATTGGGATTTCAAGGAAAACTGATGCTTCACTATTTTAATAACTTTTTCTGTCTTAGATTTATAAGAATTTATTATTTGAAGATATTTTGCTTGTTAAGGCTGTTTTGCTTTGGTTTTTATTATTGGCATTATTTGGCATTTATTTGGAATTTATTATCTGAAGATATTTTGCTCTGTTAGGCAACTGAAGTGCTTACAAAAGAAATGTAATATATTACATTTATAATGCAGTTCACAGTGTTTAAGAGAATTTAATTAATTAAATTTGCAAATGATTATTAAGGGAACTTAGTGTCTTCAAGTTAATAGCTCATTAATCAAAGAAAATTGAAGGTTGCTGTTTTTATTTTGCCCCATTTATAAACAGAATAACAAGATTTGTAGACCGAGCATAACAGCTAAGGATAACTAGGTTATTTCATTTTAATGGAACATTAATTTAAAACCAAAGCAACTGTAAGTAGTCCTTTCTGGACTGCCCTCAAACCTTAAAATAAAAAACAAAACAGTCCACAATGACAGATATTAATACGAATAGCTGATGTTTGTATAGTGTAATACTCTCATTTTATCTTCCATTACCGATGAGAAGCACTGGGAGGTTAGTAACTTGCTCAAGGCCTTGCGTCTAGGAAGTAGTGCAAGTTGGAGTGGAGCTTGGCTCTTTGACTCCGGAGGCTGCACTCTTAACCACAGTGTCAGAGGATGTTTGGGTCTTGGTTTCTAGGGTCTGCAACTGAGGTCCCTGGAGAAGGGCTAACACTTTCCTAACATACTCCAGTGAATGCTGTCTGGTCAGCACTCCCACTTGCTCAGAGAGCTATGCATTATTTTCTTCCTTGTGAAATACATTCACCATTTTCCCTCACTGTCTTTCTCCCAATCATTTACATTTTAAAAGTTGGTGGCATTTAGCATTACAGTATAGTTTTTAGGTAACAGCAGAAAGTTCCAGTGGGACTGGTGACTGAACTAGATGAGGAATTAACGTAGCCCAGAGATGGAAGCAGTGGCCTTCGTGTCGAATTTTTCGTGGAGAGGATGAGTATGTCTTCATCTAGGCAAGTAGTGGCTGTGTCCTGCTAGGCAGAGCGTGGGTTGTAGTCAGCGTTGTCACATAGAAGTTTAAACATGGGTGACATGGGAACTATTTGGTGGAGTGCGCTGGGTCGTGTCTATTGTCTCTCACCGTCTCTGCCATCCTCTCTACTGCTGGGACTGGAAATCTGAAAACTATATTCCAACACTCCCTTGTCTTTCTGCCTGTTAGGTTCCGCTAACAGTGGGGAGGGGACATCTGGCAGCGCCTCTCCCAAGCAGCAATGGTAGCAGTGGTGGCAGCAACAGCAGCAGCAGCTGGTGAGTATGGGCCCCTTGGTAATACCATTTTCCCTTTTGCTTCCTGTAGGTAGAAATATGTAGGTAGTCTTATGTTCTTACAGCAATTCTAACACCTCTGTCACTAATCCTTTGTGTTGAATCTCTCTATTTAAAATGTTTGCCATCGTTTCCACTCTGCTGATTGGATGCTGATTGATTCAGATCTCATTCTCTGTTTGCTTGTTGTGCTCAGCTCTTTGATTTTAAGATAGGTCCATCTTGCACTGTAGACACCAGGTTGGTTGCTTCTGACTGCCACATAGTACCATGGAGCATGCGTCGGCCACACTGTACGTCCCCCTCTCCGGGATTGCTCATTCAGATTGCCACCCAACATGCTGTGATAATTTTTTTTTCTCTTTTGAGACAGTCTCGCTCTGACGCCCAGGCTGGAGTGCAATGGCACAATCTCAGTTCACTACAACCTCTGCCTCCCGGGTTCAAGCAATTCTCCTACCTCACTCTCCTGAGTAGCTGGAATTACAGGCGCGTGCCACCACACCTGGCTAATTTTTGTATTTTTAGTAGAGATGGGGTTTCACCATGTTGATCTAGCTGGTCTCGGACTCCTGATATTGTGATCCTCCCGCCTCAGCCTCCTAAAGTGCTGGGATTACAGGTGTGAGCCACCGTGCCTGGCTGATAAATATTCTTAAACGTGGTCTTTTTAGAGCTGTGTGTGAATTCCCCAGGATAAAAGTATATACTCAGGAGTGAGATTGCTTGATCACAGATCATAGCTATGTCATATGCTAAGTACTATAAGATTACACTCTGAAGTAGCCATGCTCCCCACCCAGATAATACTACATGTATTATTCGATAACTGGATTTCTTTCACTTTATATATGACAGAAATGTAAACAGTTGCAACTGGGGAAATTTAAGAAAAAAATTAAGGTGCAAACTATAATCAACTGTGGAAACAACCAAAACTGGGTTTAGTGTAACAGCTTCTAGAGTCCGCCTGCACAGCCTGTCTACCACTCATTAGCTGTGTGACCTTGGGGTAATAGCCTAACCTCCCTGTGCCTGCCTCAGTTTTCTCATTGGTAAAATGGATATAATAATAGTACCTACCTTATTTTAGGATGTTATTAAATAATGTGCATAAAGTGCTTAGACTACTCCCTGGTGCATAGCAAGAACCCAATGACTGTTGGCTATTATTGTTGAATATTTAGGTAATTTCCAGTTTTTTTGCTATTTCTCAACAATGCTCCAATGACATTCAGGGTTTTTTTGTTTGTTTGTTTGTTTGTTTGTTTTTTTTAATTTAATGTGGCAAAAAACACATAACATTATATTTGCCATGGAAGTTCAGAATTCTTAAGTGACCACCTGAATACTCACGCTAGAGCTCTGGCAGTGAACACGAGCCTGGGTCTAACAACTTTTTGGCTTGGGAGACTTGGATCTCTTTAGAAGTAACAGGATCTCTTCAGACTGCCTGTTCCAATTGCTGCATGGTCAAGGCCTGTGGCTGGAAGTCCCCTTCCAATGGTTTCCTGATTTCTGCATAGCCAATCCCCTGACCAGGGCCAGCTTAAGCTTCTGAGCTTCTGAGGTGGGTGAGTCTCCATAGTCCTAATCTCAGGTCAGGTAGGGAATGTCTGTGTGCAGTTGCATGACATGAAGGGGCAGCATTGATTCAAATCCCTGCTCCGTGGCTTAGCATCTGTGTGATCTTGGGGAAGTGATGCCACCTCTCTGAGCCTCTGTTGCCTCATCTGTAAAATGGGAATGATACCTGTTTCACTGTGTTGATGGATTTGAGAATTGCAATGTGTCTTAGTCTGTTCAGATTGCTATAACAAAATACCATAGATTAGGTGGCTTATAAACAGCAAATATTTATTTCTCACAGTTTTGGAGGCTGTGAAGTTCAAGATCAAGGCACTGCAGTTTCAGTGTCTGGCGAGGGCCTCCTTGACTGGTTCAGAGACAATATCTTCTTGCTATGTTCTCCTCTGGTAGAAGGAACAAGCTAGCTCTCTGGGGCATCTTTTAAAAGGGCATGAACCCCAATCAGCAGAGTTCCACTGTTATGACCTAATCACCTCCCAGAGGGAGTTATTTGCATGCCTGTAACTGAAGAGCAGTCCTCCTCTATCAGGGAAAGTTGTCCTCTTCGACCAAGCACACAGCTTCAAGAGGAACGCATGTGAAGTGGTGAGGGAGGAAGGGGACACCCACTTAGCCAGCCTCACATCCTACCATACTTTTGATTTCTATCATTTCCTTTTGATTCTTTCCTAGATTTCTGATTTCTCATCTCTCTGCTTATATTACCCATCTGTTCTTGTATGTTGTTTACTTTTTCCATTAGAACTTGTAATTAATTTTATGTGTCAATTTTGAGGTTCTAAGATGCTTGTTGAAAGTGAAGATATTTAAAGTGTTGAAAGAAACAAACAACCATTACATGCTGTAGCTAATGAAATTATTCTTCAAAAGTGAAGGAGAAATAAGATTTGCTCCCAAAGGGTATTTGTAGCTGTTAGACCTACCTTCCAAGAAATGTTAAAATAAAATTTTCAGAGAACAGAAAAATGAAATAGGGCCAGAAATTTGGATCTAAAGAAATGGAGAATGTCAGAAAAGGAGTAAGTTTAGATTGGCTGACTGTAGACAAAAAAAAAAAAAAAAAAAAGGAATAAATGAGGTCAAATAAAATCTTTGTCTTATTTTTAATTACTTTGATAGATTATTACTTTGTTCAAAGTAATAATAGCAACAATGTGTTGGGTGATTATAGAATATGGATAAGTGAAATGAATGTTAATTGTGTTGTAAGTATAGGAGGGAGGAATTGGGAACAGTCTTCTTATAAATGGACTTACATTAGTTGTAAAAGTATATGGAAAACTCTAGGGCAACTTTTAAAAAATTTAAAGAAGACATAATTGATATGCTACAAGAAAGAAAACAGAATCATATAAAATGCTTAATTAAAACCAGACAAGGCAGAAAAAGAGAGAAAATTTTTTAAAGGAAGTAAGAACAAGTGCAACAAATAAAAAACAGCTGCAAAGATGTTAGAATGTCAACCTAACTATATCAACAATCACTAAATGCGAATGGTCTAAATACACGAATTAAAAGAGACTGTCAGAGTGGATAAAACAAAGCAAGACCCCAACTATATGTTCAGAGCAATCTTCTTTAAATATAAAGACCCAGATAGATTCAAAGTAAAGGAATGGAGAAAGATAAACTATGCTGTCACTAGTCAAAAGAGACCTAGAGCCGCTATGTTAATTTCAGGAAAGCAGATTCAGAACAAGGAAAGCCGTCAGGGATAAAGAATACATAACGACTATCATTATGTATTCTTCTACCTCATTAGTGACAGCGTAGTTTATCTTTCTCCATTCCTTTACTTTGAATCTATCTGCGTCTTTATATTTAAAGAAGATTGCTCTTAACATGTAGTTGGGGTCTTGCTTTTATCCACTCTGACAGTCTCTTTTAATTCGTGGGAACATCACACACTGGGGCCTATTAGGGGGTAGGGGGAGTGGGGAGGGATAGTATTAGGAGATATACCTAATGTAAATGACAAGTTAATGGGTGCAGCACACCAACATGGCATATGTATACATATGTAACAAACCTGCACGTTGTGCACATGTACCCTAGAACTTAAAGTATAATAATAATAATAATAATAAAATACATAACAATAAAGACATCAATTCTCTAAGAAAACATAGCAATCTTTAATGTGTAGGCACCTCAAACTATCTGAGGCAAAAACTGATAGAACCGCAAGGAGAAACAGACAAATCCACTATTATATTTGGAGAGGCCAACACCCCTCTATCAGTAATTGACAGTCCCAGAAGGTGGAAAATCAGTAATTACATAGTTTACCTGAACAGCCGCATCAATTGTCTGGATTAAATTGACATTTACAGAATACTTCATCTAACAACAGCAAGAATATACAGTCTACACAAGCTCATGTGAAACATTCAGCAAGTGTTTGATACTGAATGTTTATGTTCCTCCAAAATTCATAGGTTGAAGCCCTCACCCCCATGTGACTGTATTTGGAGATGGGGTCTTGAAGGATGTAATTAAAGTTAAATGAGGTCTTAAGTGGGGAGACCCCATCCAATAGGATTGATGTGTTTTTTTTTTTTTTTCTTTTGAGACAGGATCTCACTCTGTTGCCCAGGCTGGAGTGCAGTGGTGAGATCTCAGCTCACTGCAACCTCAGCATCCACAGCTCAAGTGATTCTTCTACCTCAGCCTCCCGAGAAGCTGGGACTACAGGTGTGCACCACCGCACCCAGTTAATTTTTGTATTTTTTATACAGACAGGGTTTCACCATGCTGTCCAGGCTGATCCTGAACACCTGGGATCAGATGATCCACCTGTCTAGGCTTCCCAAAGTGCTGGGATTATAGGTGTGAGCCATGGCTCTCCACTGGATTATAAGAGGAGACACCGGAGCGCTTGCATTCTCCTGTGCTTCTCTCTGTCCCTTCCTCCCTCCCTCTCCACATTGGTCGTGTGACCACAAAGCAAGAAAGTGGCTGTCTGCAACCCAAGGGAAGAGCCCTCACCAGACACCAACCTGGCTGGCACCTTGATCTTGGAATTCCAATCTCCAGAACTGTGAGAAAATACATTTTTGTTGTTTAAGCTACCTGGTGTATGGTATTTTGTTTTAGCATCCTGAGCAGATGAAGACATCAAGAGAGAACACTTCTGGGCAATAGAATTGAAAAGGTCGCATACACGTGAGTGTCCTGGAGTTTAAGCTCCACTGGCTTCAGGCAAATCTGCTTCTGCTGGTGATTTCCTTCCAGGCAGGGTGGGTCAGCCTCTCTGTGCACAGCTGTCCATTGCAAACTTCTCTCCCTCTCTTTATGGCTGGGCTCCAGGACATGTGAAGAAGGAAGTTCTGAGGTTATAGGGACGCAGCCTCCAGGGCACAGCCAGCTAGCCTCGGTAACCATTTGGAGGCCTGGTGTATTAGTCAGGGTTCTCTTAGAGGGACAGAACTATTTTTTTAATATATATATATATATGAGTGTGTTAAATATTAACTCACAGGATCACAAGATCCCACAATAGCCTGTCTGCAAGCTGAGGAGCAAGGAGAGCCAGTTCGAGTCCCAAAACTGAAGAACTTGGAGTCTGATGTTCAAGGGCAGGAAGCATCCAGCACGAGAGGAAGATGTAGGCTGGGAGGCTAGGCCTGGCTCACCTTTCCACATTTTTCTGTATGCTTTATATTCTCTGGCAGCTGATTAGATTGTGGCCACCAGATGAAGGGTGGGTCTGCCTTTCCCAGCCCACTGACTCAAATGTTAATCCCCTTTGGCAACACCCTCACAGACACACCCAGGATCAATACTTTGTATCTCTCAATCCAATCAAGTTGACGCTCAGTATTAACCCTCACACCTGGTAACAGGAGATTTCTGTAGCCAGGAAAGTGAGGAAGTGGGAAGGTATCTCACAGGATGGTCCCCAAGAGCCATTAGAGTCTTCCCTCTGGCCTTGCAGGGGCCTATGCAGGTAGCTGCGTGGAGCCTTTCTTTGGGTCAAGGAGATGATGTCCCCTTCACTGACTTTTGCACTTCCTTGAGTCTGCAGGGGAGTGTCCATCCAGCCTCAGAGTGAGCAGCAGCAGCTGACCAGATTGGAAGACATTTCCAATGTCTTCCGTGGCAGCTGTGATGTGTTGTGTGGTAGCAGCTGAGGATTGCTGGTGTGTAATCTTTGAGGTTCCAAGATGCTTTTTGGAAGTGGAGCCTGGTCAAGCAGCAGAAAGGACAGCTGGATCCATGCTGGGTGGGGTGAGGTGGGGTGCATGTCAGGGAAGTTGGCTTCAGCTGGAACTGGAGGTTGGCTTCAGCAGAGGAGGTTGAACATCACTGATTCCTGACCTGCAGCACCCAAATGGTCACAAAGAGATGTCATGGGTTTGAGGAGGCCACAGAGCCAACAGCTTTAGTGTCTTCAGAAGGATGAAGAAAACTTGAACAACATTTTAAAATAGCTTTATTGAGATATAATTCACATCCCAGAGAATGCATCCATCTAAAGGGTACAATTCAATGGATTTTTGTATATTCACAGAGCTGTGCATTCATCACTGCAATTAATCATAGAACTTCTTCATTTACTCAAAATACCCCAGCACCCCTTAGCTATCACCCTAATTCCTCTATCTCCCCCAGCCCTAGGCAACCATTAATCTCCTTTTTGTATCCATAGATTTGCCTATCCTAGACATTTCATATAAACTGAATCATGCAATATAGGACGCTTCTTTCACTTTGTGTAACGCTGTCAAGGTACATCCAGGTTATATCAGTTTCTCATTCTTTTTATGACCAAATCACATTCCATTGTATGGCTATACTACATTTTATTTATCTGTTCATCAGTCGGTGGACATTTGGGTTGGTTTCCATGTTTTTGGCTGTCAGAAATAATGTCGCCATGAACATTCATGTACAAGCTTTTGTGGGGACATGTGTTTTCATTTCTCTTGGGCATATGCCTAGGAGTGGAATTGAGTCACATGGTAACTTTATAATCATTTGAGGAACATCCAGACTGTTTTTCAAAGTGGCTACAACATTGTACCTCCCCACCAGCAATGTACAAGGGTTCCAGTTTCTCCACATCTTTTTCAACTTTTTTTTATCATTTGACTTTGTTTTTTTTTTTTTTTGAGACAGAATCTCACTCTGTCGCCAGGCTGGAGTGCAGTGGCGTGATCTCAGCTCACTGCAACCTCCGCCTCCCAGGTTCAAGCGATTCTCCTGCCTCAGCCTCCCAAGTAGCTGGGACTCCAGGTACTTGCCACCATGCCCAGCTAATGTTTGTATTTTTAGCAGAGACGGGGTTTCACCATGTTCATCAAGATGGTCTTGATCTCTTGACCTTGTGACCCACCCGCCTCAGCCTCCCAAAGTGCTGGGATTACAGGCATGAGCCACCACGCCTGGCCTCATCTGACTTTTTAATTAAAGCTATCTTAGTGGACATGAAGTGATATCTCATTATGGTTTTGATTTGCATTTCTCCCATGACTAATAATATTCAGGACCTCTTAATGTGCTTATTGGCTATTTGTATATCTTTTTTAAAGAAATATCTATTCAGATCCATTGCTCATTTTTGAATTGGGCTATTTGTCTTTTTATTCTAGAGTTGTAATTGTTCTTTATATATTCTAGATACAAGCAATTTATTATGTTTATAATTTGCAAACAATTTTTTCCCATTCTTTGGATTATCTTTTCACTGTTTTGATAGTGTCTTTTGAAGCCCCAAAGTTTTTAATTCTGATGGTCAGTTTATCCGTTTTTTCTTTAGTTGATCTTGCTTTTGGTGTCAATCTAAGAATGCAGTGCCAAATCCGGGGTCATAAGGATTTATCACTATGTTTTTTTTCTGTGAGTTATAGTTTTAGCTCTTATTTATAGGTCATTGATCCATTTTGAGTTAGTTTTTTTATACAGTGTGAAATATGGATCCAACTTCATTCTTTTGCATGTGGAAATTCAATTGTCCCCACATCATTTGCTGAGGGGACTATTCTTTTTCCATTGAAAGAGGTTGGCACTCTTGCTAAAAATCAACTGGCCGTAGATATATGGGTTAATTTCTGGGCTCTCAGTTCCATTCTGTTGATGTATAGATCTGTCCTTATGCCCATACCACACTGTTTTGATTACTTTCATTTTGTAGCAGGTTTTAAAATTGGGAAGCATGAATTATCCAACTTTTTCAAGACTGCTTTGGTATTTGTGTTTTCTTGAATTTTCATATGCATTTTAAAAGCAACTTGTCCATTGCTGTAGTCAGAATTTTGATAGGGATTGTATTGAATTTGGAATCTGGGAGCATTGCTATCTTAATAATGTTAAGTTTTTCAATCTATAAACATGGAATATCTTCCCACTCATTTAGATCTTCTTTAGTTTTCAACAGTATTTTGTAGTTTTCAGAGCATAAGTTTTGTACATCTTTTGTTAAGTATATTCATAAGTATCTTTCTGATGCTAATATAAATGGGATTTTTTTTTTTTTAAGACAAAGTTTTGCTCTGTCACCAAGGCTGGAGTGCAGTGGTGTGATCTCAGCTCACTGCAACCTCTGACTCTCTGGTTCAAGTGATTCCCCTGCCTCAGCCTCCCAAGTAGCTGGGATTACAGGTGCCAACCACCACACCTAGCTAATTTTTTGTATTTTTAGTAGAGACAAGGTTTCACCATGTTGGCCAGGCTGGTCTCGAACTCCTGACCTCAAGTGATCCACCTGCCTCAGCCTCCCAAAGTACTGGGATTATAGGCATGAGCCACTGTACCCAGACTGGAATTGTTTTCTTAACTTCATTTTTGATTTGCTCATAGCTATTGTATAGAAATACAACTGAGTTTTGTACACTGACCACATATCCTTGTAAACTTGCTAAACTCATTTATTAGTTTAATCCTTTTTAGTGAATTCCTTAGGATTTTCAACGTACAAGATCATGTTATCTGCAAATGAAGACAATTGTACTTCTTCCTTTCCAATATGGATGGCTTTTACTTCATTTCCTTGCCTCATTGTCCTGGCTGGCCTCTTTAGTACAATGTTGAACAAACAGAAGCTGTGTGAACAGACATCCTTGTCTTGTTCCTGATCTTCTGGGGAAAGCATTTTGTGTTTCAGCTTTGAGTGAAAACCCATTAGCCGTGGCCTTTTCTAGATGTCCTTTATCAGGTTGAGGAGACTGAGTTCTTCAGAGGAGGAGCTGTGTCAGCTCTGAGGTGACACATAGCATTGTCAGCTTTCGGAGTTTGAGGTCCTGGCTGACCGGGAGGAGATGATGTCCTGAAGGATGTGGACATGATGTGCTGGGGCTCTGGGGACTTGAGGGGAGACCCCGCTGCAGACCTGGGTATGGGAATAAAAAGGCAATATCAAAGGCAGTAATTGGACCCATGGGAGTGGACCATCTCGGAAAGAGAAAAAAGCATCAGGGGCAGAGATGTGGGAGAGGGGAGAGGAGCCCGAGAAGTGGTCAGAGAAAGAGGAGAAAATCCAGATTGTGTAGGGAGGAGAGAAGTGCCCCAGCAACTGAAGACGGTGCCAGAGCCTAAGAGCCTACTGGCTGGGGAAACCTTGCAGAAGAATGGGCCAGACCCGCTGGGGGCCACCTGGTAGCCCAGCGCTGAGAGCTGTGCACGCGGCCTCACGACACCAGGTGGCGCGGTGGACCATTCTAACAGCCACTCCTCTTAGCCCTGGTGGTTTCTTTTCA